TGAGTTTCACTCAACGGAGTACGTGCCGTTCCACTAAGTGTCACTAAGCTCTGCTCGACACTATTATTATTGACATTGGAGCTTATCAACTCAGACACTCCAATGTCCAGCACACTAACTGACTCAATTAATGGCTCGTGCCAATAGCACTTTTGGTTCCTAGCGAAAGTGGGTTCATGACTCTCCAAAGCTTCGCTATGAACATTGCGCGTTGCGCCTAAGTTTTTGGATCTCCAATCGATCCAAGGCTCATGGCGTTCCAGCCAGACCATACCGAGAATGTGATCATATCTCAAGTCCAAATCTAGGATAAGACAGCGTTCAACGCTATTTAAGTCTAAGAACTTCACACCTAAGTTCAACAGAACTTTAGGATTGATTACACGTACACCCGTCGCGAGACGAACGGTTAAACTGTCACCATGTTGCACTTCTAGAGTCTTAGCATACAGCTGACTCCTTTCAAGGGAACGATGCCGGACATAATTACCCGACGCCCCTGAGTCAATTAGAATTGGTCATGGTTTCTCAAAACCCTTAACGGTTGCCGACACAACCAACAATCCTAGCTTTTAATCTTGTTCCATGGAAGCATCCACAGAACCACCTGGGGCTAAGCCCTAGTTACCTCTACCTCCTAGAGGTTCAACAGAACTTAGTTCTTTCCCAGTAAGGCGCCCCGCGCCTACTGGGAGCTGAAGTTTTCCCCTGCCGTGCTCGCCTTTAGATAGGAGCAGGGTTTCGGCTCTGCCGATTTAAATATTGCTTTCGCAACGGAAATTTATGACGGAGATGCTTAGTGCTTCCGCACATGTAACATACTACGGATGTTACCTTGCTGCTCAGCAGCTTAAAGCTCAGCTTCTTCAGCATGACTGAGGTCCATGGGTTCGACCTGTTAGAGGCATTTGAATTATACCAGACCATAGCAAGCCGATTTGAAATTAAATTAAGCGTTAAACGCTATGCTCACTGCCTCTTCGAACGTCGAAGGCTGACACGGAAAACTTCTGTCCTGGCAACCCCAGTGCGAAGTCCTTCCATAAAAATGGTTACTCGGACTTCCTCTGCCAGAGGGTCCTGCTGCATAGCAGCAATAAGAGTTCTCAACTCTTGGACATAGTCCGACAATTCTTTCTTACCCTGTAGGGTAGCTAAGAAGCTTGAGGCACACGATAAGCCTGATTAGGCGGTGCAAACACAGCTTTTTAAGCATTTCCCAGGTGGGGAATGCAGCATTTACAGAGACATCGCTCGCTAGATCCCACTATCTAGCTCTTCCACCGAGCTTCGAAATGGCCAAGCCAACTCGTTGCTTATCTGATACAAGCATGGCGGCATCCATTGCCATTTCAACTTCTCGGATCCAAAGGAGAAGATTTTCTCCTTCCCCTCAAAGGTCTTTACGTTAAAACAAGTGGACGAGCCTTTGGCTCTGCATCGGGCACAGGTACCGGGATGTACTGTGTAGGCGCAGCTTACTCTGCCTGGTCATGGACCTGCCTGAGTAGCTTCATAACGAATAAAGGTCTCAAGACGAGCATTTAAAACCTCGGGGACTTGGGCCAAAAGGGCCTCGGTTTGATCGGGCCCGACGAACGCAGATAATTTATCTAAGGCGAGTCGTTGCGCCTCAGAGAGGTGATTATAACTCTCTATCCTCACAGAGGGTCAGTCTTTAAAGAATCAGGTGTAGGATTGACTACAAGTGCTACCAAGTGTAGCGGAGCTGCACAGCTCTTTAGCCAGAGGAAGACTTTAGGCTGGAATCCTCTTAGTTCTGGAGAACTAAATAGAGTTAAGGCTAAAAGCCACTTAGTTCTAATGAACTACTTAAACTACTTAAAGTCACCCTGTTCTAAGGAACGAGGAAAGAGACCTTTAGTCAGCAAACAATAAGCTTAAGGCTCAGAGAACCAACGCACAGAGTGCAAGAACAAGCTAGGAGCTTAAAGGTTCAGAGAACCAACGCACGAAGTGCACAAGAGAACAAGTCAGAACGACTTGCGATCTTTAACTTGAATTGAGAAGTGATTTTGTGATTTTTTATGCATTAAGATTATATGAATAGTAGTTACTCTAAGTACACTCCACTAGATTAATTACTATAACAGTAATTATAATATGCAGACTTTGCTATTTGACGACGTATCGTCTAAACATCTGTGTATGATGTACTAAGTACAGCGTTATCGATTTATCGAATCCTAATCGATAAGATACGGTATTACCGAATCCGTATCTTAGACGGTTATACTTAATACCTCTCTAAAGAGAAGTATCAGATGCATTACATGCAATACAAGGGGACTTCAGCCATAAACTCTCGGAAAGACGCTACAACCGTCGTGTAACCCCGCTACACATTTCGTAAATTTAATTACGTCCGCTTCGCATTGCTACAGAGGTTTGGCGGATGGTATATATATTTGGACTTCTACAAAGGCACGGGCGTACTGGTTCTTGTCGAAACAGCAAAATGATGTATTTTACTTCAACTTCGCGCATTTGACGGAGGAGACGACCGCGAAGATCGATGAAGATAAAAATCATCATCGATATCATCTTTCGGTATCACAGCTTATTAAACTCCTTTGTATCGGATCCATGTATCACTTCGGGTACCAACTATTTCATCTATCAGACCCACGGTTGCTAATATCTACAACAGCTTATCCATAGACATATGAGCAAACGGAGTGCATGAGCCGAGTGTTTGAGGATGTAAGAGACACTGTTTACGTCGTTGAGTACATTTCTTCCACTTGACGAATTTGGAATCATTAATGCCGTGCATGTGTCGATAGGTTTGTCGCCTTTTTTCGTCAACTACACCAGGTATCCTCTCGTTCTGGTGTTCTTGTCTCTCCGCTTCGGAGCACCCAGTCTCCAAGCTTGCTGGGGATGTATATGTCGACGGCGTTGCGCCGAAACTTTTGGAACCTGATTCCATAGCATATGGTGCTGTTGCCGAGGCAACTTTTGACGTTTCTAATGACTATTCTAGCTCTAATGCGATGCATTTAATAGCGTCTCCCGCTACCAAATTTGCTTATAATGAGTCCAGTCTGCCTAAGCGTTCTGCCGCAGTGATCGAGTCCCTGCTATTACGACAAGCCGTCCTGTGTTTTGTGCGTGATGCACTCCAAGAGGTAATCGACAAGCATACGAAGAATGCATATCGAAAAGGTCGAAATGAAACGTTGATTTTCCGTGCAGGTGACATAATCTTGTTGTCACTTAGTGAGCTCCCTAGTACAACAGTGACGAATTTCGACAAATTAGCGCCACGATCTAATGGCCCTTTCGGGTTATCAAGGTTCATGATGATGCCTCTACGCTAGACTATGCGCTTGCACCCGATGTTCTTCGTCGGGCACTTCAAGACTTACTTCCCGACGGACCTCCCGACAACCCTTCCCAGCTTTTCTGGGCCGGCCAACATTCTCAAGACGACGTAGATGACGAAGGTTGTACCAAGTCCTGCCCGAGCGCATACGAAATTATATTTCTGGGGCCTCCAAATACAGCACTCTTGAGTTGCAGAAGTTGTCAACCAGTCTCTTCGAGTGCTCTGTTAGTAGCCTCCGTCGTAGCAGCCGCTCGATCGCACGCACTCTAGGCCATCTCACGAGCATCGTGCAATTCCTTCCTCGTATCTTCAGCTATAGAACGAAAAAGCGCGGCTCGTCGGTCGGCGGACCAGGCGCGATCATTTACATCGTCGGATACTAGCGGAGATCTTCCGCCGTGATCACCCTCCTACCTTGTCGGTTCATCGGGTGCGCAACGCTGGATTGTAGATCGTATCGTCGATCAAGAGTATCGTAAGTCGCATGCGCCGAGTATTGACTCGGCACCTACGAAAAATCAAATCGAGCTACATCATAAGGTCCACTGGCTGGGACATCTACCGGTTGATAATACATGGAAGCCGAGAAGTAAGCTGGCTGAAGATGTAAGAATTAAAGAGGAAGCTAGATCCCACCGACGATATCGCTATCCATGACGCTCGCGATTATCTGTATCGCAATGAAGAGCACCAGAGCGAATCCCGAGATCTACTACGAGGCTCGCGAACATATTAACGGTATGGGTACTGCGTGCTCGACCACGGCGAGCGTGAGATAGTTCCCGCATCCTGCATAGCTTCGATGCGCAAAGCTCTAAGATATTGCTCTTGTAGCGGGCAATCCATGGCTCAGTGTATCGAGAAGCACCCGTGCGCACACTAGGTTACCTCATTAATGAAACGGACGCGGATCGTCAACACCACACGTCAAGTATCCCTCCGGGGCATGAACATAGCACATGTGTCTCCCCTCGCGCATGTGACATATGCGCCGAGGCAAAACGCTTTTAGTGTTCACCGTGCGTGCCTTCACGCCTCTGAAGCCATGACGTGAAGGACATCTTTCACGTCGACTTAGGTTCCAGCGTCTTACGAAGGCCTACCATGATCGTTGCAGCGCTTCGTCGATGTACGCGTTGTTTGTGGCTTTGCTTCTCGCTGCGCGGTATCGAGTGAGAGCGTCCTCATGGTTCCAGGTGACTCCGGGTGATCAGCTCCGCCAGGGTTGTATAACGCTCATAGCTTCAGATATCTTCGCCCATATTCTACAAGTATCTTCGCCCATAGTCTACAAGTCCTGCTCTCTGCGTATCAGCGCCTGGCGAGTCCAGTTGCTTTTGTCAAAATTGCCGTTGCATGTGCGGCTGGGGTCCAGGCTGCTTTGTTGAGTAGAGTCGAAGACGTGTCGTTAGGATTCTCGTGAAGAAAAAATATTTATGTTTGCGCTCATGTTGTGGTACTTGCAACTTCAAAAGGTGATGTAACGGAGCAACCTGAGCTCACGTCACCAAACGACTCTTGCTAATGCTTATCTACGACGCCCTCTTTGGGATATAAGGAATGAGGTGAATACATTTGCACACACCATGTTACAACCAATCAAAGTCTTCGATACCTCATGAGTAGGGCATCTTTTAATTATCTCGTTATGGCTCAAGTGGCAGCTACTAACGCTCGTCAGCCACTGCTGCAGCTGCTACGCGGTCCAAGCGGCAAACTCTGGGAGGTCTGCATTGGTCTGGAAGTGCATGCGCAGATTTTGAGCCGCTCTAAGCTCATGAGCGGCGCTGCAGCAGCCACGTTATCGTCTGCGAGACCCAACCGCCACGTCAGTTTCTTTGATGCGGCACTGCCCGGGACGTTACCGGTGATCAATCGTGAGTGTGTCCACCAGGCTATTCGTACAGGCTTGGCACTGAATGCGACGGTGCATTTGCGCTCGTTGTTTGAACGCAAACACTATTTCTACTGCGATCTACCGTTGGGCTACCAGTTGACACAACAACGGGCCCCAGTGGCATCTAAAGGGATATTACACTTTGATCTACCAGCTTCAGCAATTATAAGTGAACACGGAGAGACGTGGGGTGATGAGGAGGTGACATTTGATGCATCCAAATACAAGTCAAGGAAGGAAAAGAATGAGGCACTGAAGAAATGGAAGGCCAAGCAGGCAGAGAAGCAGCAATTGGAGGTAAGATAAATGAAGAGATATTGAAGGATTATAGATAGATTGTGAACATGCTAGTGGTGTTGATGTTGTGTAGGGGGCGATTCAAAGAAGTGTACGGATCACTCGGATTCAGCTCGAGCAGGATTCAGGTCTGAGTTTATGGTGATAGATAGGATATTGTTTGGTGTGGAGTAGAGTGGACACTCACATAATTGTTTGGTCATTGTAGGCAAGAGTAATCATGACTTAGAGGAGGAGAATACTGTCGTGGACCTGAATCGTGCTGGTACGGCGCTGCTGGAAATTGTTATGGAACCGGACCTTCGAAGTTCGTTGGAAGCTGGACAAGTCATGCGCCAGTTGCAGCATTTATTGCGTCATTTGGATGTGTGCGATGGGAATATGGAGGAAGGATCTATGCGTTGTGATTTGAATGTAAGTGTGCGACCGACAAACCAAGAAGAAGACGCTGGTACGGAACATCTTTACCGCGCGTTAACATCCAGCACTGCGGCTCCTTTTGGTGAAAGAGTAGAGGTGAAGAATATGAACAGCATTCGCAATATGATGCGTGCAGCAGAATACGAAGCCAGAAGGCAGATTGCGCTTATCGAGAAAGAGGGTGGAGAGGTGCATCGCGAGACGCGTTCTTTCGATGCTGTTACTGGTAAAACTGTAAGCCCGAATGGCCGACACGACTGTATCTTTCTTGTAAAGCTAACGTGACTGTTGTTGCTTTACTGTCGCAGAAACGCATGCGATCTAAAGAGGGAGCAAAGGATTATCGGTTCTTTCTTGAGCCAGACCTACCTCCACTTGTCTTAACGAATGACCTCATTGAGATGATCAGTAGAAGTATGCCTGAACTCCCTGACGTGCTAAAAGATCGATTGTGCGCTCAGTACGATCTCACGCCATACGAAAGCTCAGTGCTGGTGAACGAACCCGGTGCAGCACACTACTTCGAGTCAATCGCAGCACAAAACTCTCGACCTTCAAAGATGGTGGTGAATTGGGTGCTGAACGATTTGTTTGGACACTTGAAGGCATCCAATGGCGACATTTTCAGTAGCCCAGTACAAGCCACAGAGCTTGGTGATCTCATTGATCTCATTCAGGACGGCACCATATCGGGCAAAATCGCCAAGGATGTATTAGAGCGCATGTTCTACGAAAATGAGGCAAATAAATCACCGCTGCAAATTGTGGAAGAGAAGGGATGGAAGCAGATTCAGGACCCTGACGAGATTCGTTCACACTGCCGAGCTGTTCTCGATGATCCCGTACGTGCCTTAATGTGGTTGAGTGGGACAAGCGTGACCTGCAATTCATCTAACTTTTTTCTGCACATTTCTAGAAAGCGAAGAAGAACCTTGAGGCGTACTGGAAGGGGAAAACACAGCTGTTCGGATTCTTTATCGGTCAGGTGATGAAGCGCTGCGACGGCCGTGTACATCCGGAGCTTGCAAACAGCATTATGCAGGAGGTTTTGGAAGAGAACAAACGATAGACCAACATACAGTAGACAAAAACGCAGTAGTCCATTGCTCTAGTGTAGTGAATGAGCTCCACAATGTAAACAACCTGACCGTCGGAAAGATTACCGGACTTGCGCACTGAGAAATTACAGTCACCGGCAAACAAATTCAAAAGCCTACTGTAGCACTCCATACGTTTGCAAAAGCTTTTTGTAGATCAGTGCAAACAGCGCAATGACGATAGCAACAGTCAGGTAGTGTAGCAATGTGTCCACGCTGTCCGACCCGCGCACTTGAACAATATCATGAGCAGCAATCGGTGTGTCTACGTTCTGATGACGCTGGGTCACTGCCGGCATTTCTGCTGACTCCTCAGCCAGTGCTGAAACTGTATCTCGCGTGGAAGTAGAACCATCAGCATCTATACTTGGATCCTTTTTCATCGATGCGGGTTTGCTATCCACCGGGACCTCCTCTTGGGTTTCAGCACTATTATGTGCATCAACAAAAGTCGTTTTAGCCTCTTCTACATGTTCCCCATCCTCAACAGTGACATTCTCGGCCTCTTTTTCGTCCTTCGCAGCTCTAGAAGGTGAAGCACTTTCTAGACTGTGCATGTGCAACTGAGCAATTTGTTCCATGTACTTCGATGGGGTTTTTTCATGTTCATTCTCTAATTTCAGCTCTGGCAGCAAATCTGCAACTCGTCCACAGGTTTCGCACTTGTAGTTAATGGACTGCAATTTTGATACCAATATATACAAGCATTAGCAATACAACTCACGACCTCTCCAATTTCAACATCTGCGTACCAACTTCGCCAATCGTTTCCGTTCATCAGCAGAAAAGTCCAAAGCACCAATCGCGCCTTCACCCTTTGTAGGCATAAAGCTAATTAAAGCCTCTAAAATGAGCCGGACGCCCCACGCTGGTTGCCACTCTTCTGGATGATACGCTGAAATACTGAGACAAATTTTCTTTTTTACTTCAAAGCGACCATTAGGCTGCAGTACACACAGATTCAAAAAGGTCAGTGCTTTGACTCATATACATATATAGGTACAAATATATACTTGAATAGTACCGTAAGTAATATAATATTGGGTGGTTTAAACGGGTAGTCGGACGGTAGAATGATGCGGCCGTGGTAGATTCCACCCTCAAACTCCGTGTCGTGTGGTCCACGTAGTGTAAAGTGCCAGTCAAACATATTGGTCTAAAGTATAGAAATGAAGTAACAATTATCAATTCAGCACTTATTTATGTCGAAAATAAATATTACAGCGCACCTCGAGCGGCGATGCCGTGTATTGGTCGCTTGGATTCGTCATCATTTCACGCACATCCTACAATAAAGCGAGAGTAAGGATACGATGTGAGAGAAAGCGAGGAAAATAATGTTTGCTAGTGTACATACGCCCTGGATGCGCTTGACGGCGGTGTTGCGCACAGTCGCTGCCATCTTTTTCCTTTGTTTTGTCGTTTTGCGGACGCAAAATGTTGCACAAACTTATGTTGCTTAGAAGTTGCAATACAAAAAGACTATTTTTGGTCTGACAGAAATTAACAACGGATGTGAAAAAAAGCAATTCCTGCCTACCCCTAGCTATTTGTCAATTACATGACTAAGCGTTTACTTAGTGAAATAGATTATGTAATGATTGTGTTGCAGGAGCATGTACGTGTAAGTAATATAAAGCAACGACTAAAGTTCCACAATCTTTGTCAATAATGTCGCATCAAAAAAGAGCCAGAACTTTCACAAAAGCGACAGCAGACAGGGCAGGACCTCATTAATGCCTATGTGAAGGACGTTCGCTACTTTGTCGACGTGCCCAACACTTCAGGACTTTGTGCCTATTGCTCCTCGTCACGTTTCGCACGCTGCACAGCGTCTCGTGGCGCACGCAGCAAAGAGGAGGAGGCTTCTCCTCTTCAACTTTGGCTTCAAGATGGGGGATTTCCCGCCCAAGATAAGGGGGCCAGTTTCCTGTGTTCCTGGAAGGCCTTGTCCCTTTTTTTGTTTCGCTTTCTAGTCGCCGGTCCGTTCGTCGAGCGCACCATCCGATCCCACGAAGGAAACTCTGTAGAACGTGATTCTGTCCGTTCCGATATCGAATGGGAGCTGCTATGTCAGGGATTAGTCGGACTGGTCCGTCTGGGACAGCCGGTTTGGTCACTATGAAGGCGCCACCTGCCTCCTGCATCTGCTCGGGTTTGGTCAGACGGTCCCACATTGGCACGTGCCCTCGTGGCCTGTTGAAGTCTTTACCGTGAAGCCCGTCAGGTTGAGCCAGTAGAATGAGCAGGAGAACAACGTAGTCATGGCAGAAGATCAGGGGATGTTCCTTCACAGACTTATCTTAACTAATCATAAGGATTGAATAGACAGTCTGATTATCATCATTTATTATGAAGTACATTTGAAGAAAATGTAGGATGAAGCTATGAAAAGATACATGTAGCAATGTACACATTGTATCGTTGTAATGGAGTAAGTGCTCGACAAGCTCCTCTTCTACAGTTGATGATCTCCTGCGAGGCATTACCATCGCTTCTTCACCTTAGAAGTTCAGATATCTGGAAGTGTCAGCAGATATCTGACTGAACTATGTGGAAATTCCTCTTCATAAAATGCAGCTTCTTGACAAAACGATAAGCAGAAATCAAGCAATTGCTACGGCTTTTGTCGTCTCGTTGCTACTTATGGAAGTATTACTTGCAAGCAGACCACGAGCTGTAGCGAAAGGGCGGTAATGTAGAGAAGAACAGACCGTCTATTTCAAACATTAAGGATTGGTAAGATGTCTGGAGTGCTTCTACCAGGACTTCGTCATTCTTCGCCTCGCTGGCTCAATCTGCTGGCTCGAGACGTCGGGCGTCACGGGGGACACTCCGAAAAGGGCACGTGGAATCGGGTATCCAGCCCGAGGTGTAAACAGTGGCTCAATGATCGCAACAAGCGCCGGGCACCACACCGATCAGTCCCGATCGACCGCTGATGCACCTGGACGGGGCCGATCAATTCACGTTCTTGGCAAGTTCACTTCGTGGGACCGAGATTCGCGCTCGGCGATCGAATCGGCGGCTTGAAGGCTGACGTAGAATAGCAGGAACTATTGGGGAAAGAGGGAATGATAACCGCGGTCATCGATCCTCTCCCCCCGGGGGTAACAGGGTTGGTGCTCCCCTTACGGTTCGCACGCTGCGCTTGCCCCCCATAGCGCACGCAGCAGAGGGAAAACCTCCCCCTCTTATCCTGGGCCTCCCGTTGGAGGGACTTCCCGCCCTGGTCGGAGGGGGCCGGTTGACCGGCTCTTTGAAGGTCTTCGTCTCTTGGCCGTTGTTGCTCGAAGGCTCGAATTGGGAAGTGAGGGGGGGGGGGCGGTAATGTAATAAACAGTTGACGCATTCATGTGAGACCTTTGATCGAAATCAAATCCTTCACTCATTTTCGAACCGGTGAACTAACGAAGAAGTCGCTACTGACGTGTCCGCCATCATGTTTGGTCTCATATTCTCGCGTTGGCACCTCTTAGTCGCTGTTTTTGCGATACAATTCTGCCTCGGCTGTATCTACGCTTGGTCAGTACTAAATCACCCCATCGACATGGCCATCTACGGTGATGCCGAAACGGGCCACGCAGTTAATACCTTCTACATCGCATTGGGTGTATCTGGAACAGCGGCGGCAGCTCTGGGCCCTATCATTGAACGCAAGGGGCCCCAGTGGGCTGTCTTCATTGGTACGACCTTGTTCTTGACCGGTCAAATCGTCACGGGTATCGGTTGTCACTACAAGTCCATCGCCTGGATCTACATCGGCTACGGCGTCGTTAGCTCCATCGGTATGGCCATGTGCTACGTTTCGCCCCTGTCCACGCTTCAGAAGTGGTTTCCCGACTACCGTGGAACTGTAGCTGGCTTTGCTGTCGCAGGCAGTGGTGCAGGATCGATTGTCTTGAGCAAAGCGTACCTACCAATCATTGATGCAGTTGGTCTTCCTTGGATGTTCGTCTTGACAGGATTCATCATGAGTATTCCCATGTATGCAACTCTTTTAGTCCTTCGCGTCCCACAAGCAGACTTTACTGTCAATGGTCTTGACATTTACGGTGACAGTGTCCACGAGAACGGGGCACTGGACAAGACACCCAATGATGGGTTCAATATAGTTCAGACGCCCGTCGCTAACGATGCCGCACACTACGATGTGGGCTCCTCCAGTTCACCAACCAAGCTGCTCACACTCAAACAGGCCATTTTGACGCCCGAGTTTACTTTCATCTACATCATGTTCTTCGCCAACCAGCTCTTCGGCATCATCGTGTTGTCCCGACTTTCCGGTATGTGTACCGACATTTTCAACAAAAGCCCAAGCACGGCTTCCGACATTGTGTCCATCATCAGTGCGTCTAATTGCGGCGGCCGACTCGTCTTTGCGTCTATCTCGGATCTCCTGGTGCGTACAGTAAGAATGGAGAAATCTTTCTCGCGCAAGGTGCTGTATTACTTCACCCTTGGCACGCAGATCATTGTGATCGGATCGTTGCCCACGGTTATTCGCCACAAAAGCTTCACGTACTTTGTCGTCGAGATGTTCGTACTCACGAACAGCTACGGCGGTGGACTTGCCACGATTCCGGCTCTTGTCACCGACATGTATGGTCCCTATCACGTCGGCCCAATGCAGGGTATTCTTCTCACGTCTCTATCCTTTGGTGCCATTGTCGGTGGCATCACCTTCAACCACTCGCTTAACGAAAAGGTTGCTGACGGCAAGGCCGTAGGCGAGGCGTATATCGACAACCTCAAGGCTATCTTTGTTATTGTCTCCATCGGGTTTGCGATACTTTTTCTCGTACGTACAAACGTGACGGACCGCTTCGAGCCGGGCTACCACTTTTCACTTTGCGGCAAGCGTGTCATTAGTATCCCGCCGACAGAAAAGTCTGAGGCGAGACGAGCTGAGGCTAAGGCTGAGGCTGAAATAGCCTCAGTGGAATGTGCAAGTGCAGTGGTCTATACCGAGCTCAAAGAGTAAACTTCCTGCAATAATACGATTCTGTAAGAGTGCACGATATCATCCCCATTTTGTCTTCGTTGCTAACACCAATGGTGTCTCCACAGCTCTCATGGCCTGAACTTACATAACACGCAGACTGATCAATCGTCACAATACTGTTGGGAGCATCGGGTGCTGCCTGAACCACGTTGATCACGAAACGTTTTAGAGGCGGCATTGATGTATCACCGACTTCTCAATTGTACATCACCATAGCTGACATTGTCATGAGAATCTGCTCAGTTGCATAACAAGTAAGCCAAAATATTGCAGAGAAGGATGGATCTATTAATTCACCAAAGCAGCAAGGCAAAAGCGCACCAGGGTTCTTAGCTTTGCAAAAGTTCGTCGCCTGACGGAATTTCTGCATTGCTGGACATCGTTTTATTGCTTCTTCTTCTTTTCCGGTGCGGCACGGCGCTGAGGGAAGAGGTAAAAGAATACCAGCAAGCTAATACTCACACCGTGGGGGAGGAAATACCACGAGCTCCAAATGGCAAAGCATCGATGCACGTCCATGATCTCAAACGCTATACCAGCGTACTGCATCGCCACCCACGTGAAGAACAAACCAGTTATATCGTAGAAGAATGCCAATGGGTGGGAAGTGCCATTGAAGTACGACAAGAAGACAGCGTGCGAGTGTGCTTTGCGATCATCCGTGTAGTGGAAGTACGGCCTCAGGCGACGTCGAAGATCTGCACGAAATTGTTACAGTATGATCATCAACGGTGCATGTTAGTAAAAGTGCGCAAGTGAGGCAACGTCAGCAATGATACTCACGCTTTCCAACTTCGATGTAGATACCACCCAAGAGGAAGAACAAGTAGTAGCCAGGTGACAATCCCTTTTACACAGTAACACAGCTTGTCAGTCGCTTACATTATCGAAGGGCGACGTATTCGCATGTAAGAACCGACAATCTCTACTTACATGCCATAGTGCACTGACGAAAAAAGAAGCCATCGTGGACAATAGACCAGACTTCCCTGACTTGGACAGGCCAAAACGCTGGTAAATGTCTGCAAGAGCGAATAATAAACAAAAGCCCACTGTTGAGTCAGACGTGTCTGCATATCGTCACACTAAAAGCGGCGACGTACAGGTATTAATCCATCTTGCAACGCCAATATTCCAGTTGTTAATTGCAACACGAAAATTAGTAGGCGTTTCCACGCAGAGAATATCGTTGTTTGTAATGCCATTCCTAACGCAAATTCACAAGCAAGCGTTTTAGAAACGAATCACGGACAATATTATATCTACATACACGACAATCATTGTACCATTTTCCAGTTGCTTGCACGTAGCCAACGCCAGCAGCAGCACTCGCAGCTTCAGCTAATGACCACGCTAGATACTGCCAATGATGGTAACGTAAACAATGTTAATCAGCAACTATTGAAACCGCGCGATATTAAATAATAAGCACCTTACAAAGCGAAAACGAAAGAGGACGACACGGATGCACATGTAAAGGCAACGCACAGCCCACGAGGACTTTGAGTAAAAGCTAGGCGAGTCAATCTCCTCGACTGGAAATTGAAGCGACGCAAAGAAACCTGCTGCCGAAATCTACAAGAAAAAATGCAGTGACAATTAGCAATAAATGTGGTACAAGTAGTAAGCTACAAGCATCGTACCATGATAACGAGGAGGTTGCGGAGGTGCACCAGGAACGGGGCAACGCGAATTTCCTAGATAAATTGGCACGTCAGCACAAGACACAATATTGTCACAGGTAAATGGAAAAGTTACCTTCATCCAGGTGATGTAGTCTTTATATTCAAATGCAGGACCAGCAAGATACGTCGGGAAGAAGAAAATGAAACCTACATCAAAGAAAATAAAAAGAGACTGTTGTAGTACTAGAATGGACAGAACAATAAAACTTCACTGTAACACCCACCAAAGTACGGAATCAGCGCCGGAATTTCCTGAAGCTCATTTTTCAGCATCGTAAGCGTCTTTTTCTCTTTAGGCAGGCCGCCATCGCTGTAGTTGGTAGCGACACTGCTAAGCTTTAGCGTCAGAATCATCTGCGCCGAGTCCCATACAATGTCTGGACTGTGGAACTCGCGGTAGTAGTGACTACATTAACAAAAAGGATCGTAAGTCTACAAAACCAAACACATTTACAAAGGCATTGCTAATGGTGGTAGAAACACTTACATTCCAACGAGATATACCAACAAGAGGAAAAGCACAAGGCGACCCACAATGTCCCTATGAATACAAGAAATAGCCCATTTTTATAAATTAGTCCACTGATATTTGTGCATCAATGAGACGGTTTCCTGTACCTTGGAGTCACTATCATAAGCAAATATACCACTATTGATGTGCCAATTGTATGCAACACTGCTGTGCCAAACACAAAGACACCAACAAATAGACCTGCTACTACATTAAACAAGTGACCTGATTCATAACGAAAGAAATGTCACACAGAAAAGAGTGAGCTCAGCCTTTAATTAGTCCAGTATATAAAATGTAGCCATAATGGATAGTTCCTCGTACGGGAAGTTTCGCAATGCATCAAATAAATGAGCGGCGCTACGACGTTACAGCCAATTAATGCCACTATCAGTCGAAAAGCATTAACAGGAAAGTTTTCGCTTTGTGCCATGGCGTCCACAGGGCCACGCACAAAATCCATCCTTTGCTTCTCGGTGCGAACCAGATTTTGACTCGAATTGATAGTATGGCTACACATTTGATGAAGTGCGATTGGCTGGAAGCATGGGTACATTTGTGTACCCATGTGCGAACTTAGTAGACCCCCCGTGATCCTTCGAGCGACATTACACGAACCGACGTTGTTTTGTAAATTGAATGAAAAAAGAGTCTATTTTTTCAGCTGAGCTCATTTTTCGAATGTTCGATTAGACGCAGGAAGATTGCGTCAATATGGTCAGAATTAGTGTTATGATGATTGAAATGCTATGAGAGCTTTGGTGCTTTGTCAATGCATAGCTTGACACAGGTTCTTCGCACGTGCTTTCGGTACGACACGAAACACAAAATTTTTGGTAAAAGGTGGCGACAACGTAATACAATATAGGTTCTAGATTTACGCAATAGACCGATGCATTTTTTTGATTTCACTTTCAGATTATCACTGCAATTCTTCCAGACGATTTAGTTGGCCACGAAAAGTGCTACTACACCTATTCCCGGACTTTAATGTTCAAATAAGCACAACATTAGGCGGTAGCCATGTTTACTGAGACACAATTTTCACAATCTAGTGTACCATAGAATTTAATGGTATACTTTTGTAATAAAAAAATAGTATTAAAAGTTAATACTCGGGACGATTGAGAAAATTTAATTTTGACGAACACGTCGTAAAGATAATGCCAATGAACTTTAAAGTGACATTTGCCAATGGCACATCAATAAAACTCATGGATCTACCGGACGACATCACACTTGATGGTCTTCAAGCTCATTTATTCGAGAAGACGTCTATTCCACCGCAAGATCAGCATGGCAAGATCAAATTTGATATATTTCATGTATCATTTTGTTGACCTGAAAACTTGACAGTATGTAATTCATTGCTACAGTGATGATTGGATATCCTCCCAAGATGATAAAAGGACTAGGAGTATGTGGCAAGATATATGTTATGTATAATGTAGTATACAAAGAAGAGGGGGGGGGGTACTTAAGTGATACTTTTTGATTGTTGTCATAGGAGTGTACGTTGTCATCTTTGGGAGTTCGGACAGGCTCAGTGCTAGTACTTAAGGAGGTCCCGGCAACTAGCGGAGATCAAGTCAAGTCCACGTCAGTATTTATGCGACGTATTATGCCAGCAGATAACAGCTGCCTTTTCCACTCGATCGGGTACGTGACATGGAGTTTGGCTGCAGTGTGCAAGCAGCAACTGGCTGATTTGAATGTGCTGTAGATACGCTCTTACTAAAGGCAGAGAAGGAAATGGCTTTATGATGCGGCAGCTGATTAAGGATACGATTCTGACATACCCGGAGAAATACTCGGATGTGTTTTTGGGACGACCGGTGCATGAGTATTGTGCTTGGATCATGGACGACAACTCATGGGGTGGTGAGATCGAGTTGTCGATTCTGTCGACATATTATAAGGTTGAGATGGTCGTCTTTGACGTCACGAGCATGAGCAGACTTTGTTATGGCGAAGATCAAGGCTTTACGCAACGGATGTTTTTACTCTACGACGGAATTCACTACGATCTTGTGGTTGAGGCTCCATCCACCACAGCATCCGAGCATCATGATGTGACGCTCTTTGCGATCAATGACTTTCAAAAGGTATAGAGGCAAAGAGGTGCATTGGTTTACATGGAATTGCGCTATAGTGTTGTTTTAACTCCGCCATTTGTAGGTGGAACGTGCAAGTGAAGTCGCGGTGGAAGCTCATCAGAAGCACGAGTTCACTGATGTTAGTCGCTTCAGTATCATGTGTCTGGTGTGTAGGAGTACATTTGTTGGACAGGTGAGCTTGCATAACGCTGCGAGCGAAGTTGTATATAATCTCTTACAAATATGTATATTTTGATATGTGGCTGCAGAAGGAAGCAGTTTTGCATTCCGAGACTTCAGGACACCAGCAATTTGGTGAAATCAAGCCGCACTGATTGAACGCTGAGCTATGCTATTCTAGCTTATAAGTGTTAAGCTAACAATGATGTCAACGCAAAAGTTTGCCAGCGAGATTTACTTGTCGGGAAAGTCCACCTTCTCTGAGCCCAGGGGCGACCGGGGGTCGTTATTAGGTGAAAGCGCCGCAAGTTCAGCATCGTCAATCATTTGCAGCTTTGTCTTGTACACCAGTCGGCTGTACCACCACAGCAACGAAATGCTGAGGGTGCACAACAGAATGTTAATCCAAAATACAGGGGTAAGGCTCGGGATAGCTGCAGGAAGTAGAGGGAGAATTATCCGTGATACGGAAGCTGCGGAGCCAAGCAGACCCATGAGCGTGCCCTGGGGTCGACCACCTAGCAGCTTTGAGAACGCTGCTACGACAACTGCTGTCGTGATCGGACAGCCGACACTCCAGACAAGAAACTCTGCCACTGCCAAGTGTGGAAATGACAGAGCCACTGGCACCACTACCAGGATCAGGTTACCAGCGAGCAGCATTAGGAAGCCTAGCTGCACCCAGTTTACATCGGATAAACTGTGACGGAAGGTCTCGATAGAAAAGTACGACAGCAAGCCCAACAGTCCGAGATAAAACTGAAAGTTGGATGCATCCACCACGGCATCCACGCTCTCTGGGTCGCTGCCCGTCACCTGAAGGAACAACGGGATGTTTACTGTCTCAAATACCGACAAGATGCCACGTGCATTAAAGTTCAAAAAAATGAACACCACTGCTCCAATGTTTACAACGCGGTCCGGCATTACCGTCATATTGCTCAGAGTTCTGTTTGTAGTAGCATCTGGTGTGCATACCGATGGACCATCCCGAGTCTGAATAGACCCGTCGTATAGTGTCATCATGCCTGCAATTGTCAACAGGTTAAACACGACAAGGATCATACCCGGCGATGTAAACTTATTCAAATGAATGCCCAAAATGTACAAGTCCGTGTTAGCCACCAGACTACCAAGACCAGGGGTCAATGCGTAGCCAAAGAACACGACTGTCGCCAACATCGTTAAGTATGTAAGTCGTTGATTGATCGTCGTGATTGATGCCACGTCTGCTCGACAGACACTGCGATTGCCAGCTCCAAAGCCCACGACAAATCGACTGACCGCGAGTGCCGTTAAGCTGCCGGTTACGTGCTGATCAGCAAAGACGTAAATGAGGTTCCCCATGAGACAAATAACCGATGACACAATGTAGACCGAGCGGAATGAATAGTGATCACACATCCAGCCAAAAGCCGTGGATGAAATCAATCTTCCTACTGAAAAAAGCGACGTGAGCATGCCCATAAACGCCAAATCTCCACCCAGTGACTTGGTATAGAGGAAAAGAGTGGCCAATACCACACCACGTGAAGATTCAGCCGCAAATTCGACAAAATTAATCATGGCAATATTAATATACCATTGTGAAAGACGACGGGGTGGATTGAAGGATGTATCGGGCTTTAACTCGAGCGTCCCGTAGCTGGAGATCACGACCGGGGACTGAGTCATTGGGTACTTTGGAAAATCTTTTGAGTCGCGATGATTTATTTCGACACGAAGGTTTTAAGATACGTACTCTAATGAATTAAGTGAGTGTATACTGGTATTTTAGCTAAAAATAGATTATTTAACACTAAAAAAATGAACGAGAGTTGGAAAACGTATCCATTTTGCTGAATGCGAATGGTATTTTTTATTGAGATTGTTACAGTGTATGAAACCAGGAGATATGACATTAATTCTTATCTGGAAAGTCCACCTTGTCAGAACCCAGTGGAGATCGCGGATCATTAGAAGGAGATACCACTCGGTAAGCGTTTTCAACATCTGCCAGCATCACTAACTTTGTTCGATGTACTAACCCTGTGTACCACCCTAGCAATACGATACTGCTGGTGCAAAGCACAATGTTGATCCAAAAGACCGGAATCAGAGTCGGCATCACGGCAGGAAGAAGTGGCAGTACACAGCGTGAGATACATGCTGTTGAACCAAGTAGACCCATAAACGTTCCTTGCGGACGTCCACCCAATAGTTTTGAGAATGCTGCAAGCACTACCGTAGTCGAAATGGGGCAACCGACACTCCACACCAAGAACTCGGCAAACGACAGCTGTGTGAATGACAAGCCATTGGGTACCAGGACTAGCAATATGTTACCAGCTAGCACCGTGGCAAAGCCCAGATGCACCCAATTTTCGTCCCGGATGCTGCGGCGGAAATACTCGATGGCAAAGTACGACAATAGGCCCAGTAAACCAAGATAGAACTGAAAATTCGACGCGTCGATTACGGCACTCACGCTGTCCGGGTCACTACCCGTCGCCTTAATGAACAATGGCACGTTAATAGTCTCGAACACTGACAAAATACCGCGCGTGTTAAAGTTCAGGAAAATGAACACGCATACACCGATGTTCACGATCCGGTCCGGCATCAGTGTTTCGTTATTGAGCGTGTTGCTAATCAAACCATCCTCGGACTCTTTCTCTTTCGGTCCATCCTCCACTGTGACGCTGTCATCGTACACCGTCAAGATGCCGATGATCGTGAGTATGTTCAATAAGACTAGAATCATGCCGGGGGATGTGAACTTGTTCAACAGTAAGCCGCAGAAGACCAAGTCAGTGTTGGCCACGAGACTACCGAGCCCGGGCGTCAGTGCGTAGCCCAAGAACACGACACAGACGAGGATCGTCATGTATGGCAGGCGTTGGTTGATCGTCGTGATGGACGCGACATCTGCGCGACATACGCTGCGGTTGCCTCCACCAAATCCCACGATAAAACGACTCACAGCTAGCGCCGTCAAGCTGCTGGCCATGTGCTTGTCAGCAAGTAGGTAGATAACGTTGCCTACAAGACAAATGGAAGTCGATATGAGGTAGACGGAGCGAAACGAATAGCGGTCGCACATCCAGCCAAACGCGGTAGACGAGAAGAGTCGGCCGAGCGAGAAGAGCGCGTTAATAAACCCCATAAAAGCCAGATCACCGCCCAGCGACGACGTGTACAAGAAAAGAGTTGGGAGTACGATACCGCGCGCGGACTCGGTCGCAAACTCCAGGAAGTTGATCATGCACATGTTAGTGTACCACTGCCCTAGTCGGCGCGGCGACGGCAACTGCGACGGCAATTGCGACGGCTTGACAACGAGCGGTACGGACTCCGGGTTGTTGTTGACTGTTGTGCCGTAGAGCGTTCCACCTCCGCCAAAAGATAATGCTTTGTTCACCATATCGGAGATGTTGTAGTGTTGTCGAGTCGGCTTAGCAAAATGAAAAGTGAACTTTGATCACACCCGATACCTGGAAGAGTTTGAGAGCACGAGCTTGTAGACTGAGTCATGTCAGCATACTCATCATGATATACCGAATCAAGGCCAGAGGGTGGTTACTGCATAGACAGATGAGGTGGTTTTGTCTAGGTGCCGAATATTGCAAACCTACTGGGAGCCCGGCCAGGCGATGACACTCCTCGCTCGGCTGTTAATTTTTAGACGGTTGGGTAACTGTCGAACAGTCTGTCTGCTTCCGGCTGAGTATTATCTTTGTCGATCGAAATAGCCGTGTTCGAGTGACGAGATCCTCGTAGACCTGAAACGCATCTCACACACTACCGCCGAAAAGATTCTCAATGCGAATGCACAAGCTTTGGCTCCCCTTGTTTGTACTTCATGTAGTATCACTTCATAGAGCTGTCGTAATTTGTACCACTTGCATATTGATTGACAAGAAGATAGAGCTGAGAGACAAAGTCACTGAGTAGTGGGATTCCTTCCACGGTGAGATTTACCGTGACGCGTTGTGGGTCGATGCCATCTGCAAAAGCAAAAAAAAACTGCTGCGACAGAAGCAGAAAGCGAAAAGTATCATCGCTCAGATGTTTTTTGGTTCCGTTACCAATTGATCGGTAGAGATGCTCTCTCTGATCTTTGGTGTGCATGGTATCAAACCAACATGTGTTCCATATGACAATAGGTGCTGGTAGAGGCTGTTTACTGCGGTACTTTTGACCCGCTCGTATTGAAGTTCCTTATGTTGAGTATCGGCAAGCGACTCGACTTGCAGTCCGGTGTTTGTCGCCTGAATGGACATGGGTGGCTTTCAGACGTAACTATAAAAGCAAAAGGGCAATGCGAGCGTGAAGATCTGTCATTTCCACTTGCTAAAGGACGGCAAGAAAGGAGACTGGGGTGTCGTTGGCAGACTCCAATAAACGCGAATACCTATGGTTACAACTTCAGAGTAATGGAAACTATTCGTGTTGTTTGCTGTTGCAATATGTTCAAGCTACAAAGGTGCAACGCGTTACTTATCCAGGAAATCTGCCTTATCTGAGCCAAGCGAAGACAGTGGGTCGATTGCCAGCCTTAAACCCCACGATAAAGCGGCTCGCAGACAGCACGAATCAACTCCATGTAGCACAACCGTTCGCTACCAACCACAAAATCTTGCCCACCATGCAAACAGCTGATAGATACATTGGGTTGGACGTTGCGTCTCGAAAGCCGTACCTAGATATGAATTTGGTTAATGCAAGCAGTGGAAACCAATGAGTTTACAAACGAAACGAAGACCCCGATTGCATTTGCTGATGTACGGATAGGATGGTCGGGTATAAGACTTACATACAGCTTTAACAACAAGCGTTGCATCGTATGATTGCTCACAATATCTTATAGCGTTACTTGTCATCATAGTCGACCTTATCGGAACCCAATGGTGAACGCAGATCGTTCGGGGGAGATGTGATTCGAAACGCGTTCTCGACATCAGCAAGCATCGCCATCTTCGTCCTATAAACCACACCGCTATACCAGTACAGCAGCGCAATGCTAAGTGCACACAGCGTGATATTGATCAGAAAGACAGGAGTCAGCGTCGGAATGGCCGCAGGCAAAAGCGGCAAAAGGATGCGCGAAACAGAACCAGCAGAGCCAAGCAAACCCATAAGCGTACCCTGCGGCCGACCACCAAGAAGTTTAGAGAAGGCAGCCACTACAACCGCGGTCGTGATCGGACAGCCGATGCTCCACACCAAAAGCTCCGCAACTGCCAGACGACCAAACGTCACGGAAGCAGACATCACCACCAGTAAAACATTTCCAGAAAGCAAAAACACAAATCCAAGTTGCACCCAACTGACGTCCGTGATGTACTTGCGAAAGTATTCGATGGAGAAGTACGTAACGAGTCCCAGTAGACCCAAACAAAACTGAAAATTGGAGGCGTCCACAACAGCGGCGACACTGTTAGGATCGCTACCTGTCGCCCGAAGAAACAGTGGGATGTTCACTGTCTCAAATACCGACAGGATGCCACGAGCAGTGAAGTTTAGGAAGATGAATACTAGAGCACCAATGTGCACAATCCGTTCGGGCATAGATGTTAAGTTGGACAAGGTATTTTTCGTGGCAGCGGTGTTCGGGGTCTCGAGTGGGCCATCGTGGATGCTAATGGACGAGTCATATGTGGTCAGCATGGCAATAATCGTTAGCAAATTGAACACCGCAAGGATCATGCCTGGCGAGGTGAACTTGTTAAAGTGCATGCCACAAAAGAGCACATCCACTTCTGCTACGAGACTACCGAGCCCTGGCGTCAACGCATAGCCGAGGAATACGACCGTTGCCAGAATTGTTAGATACCGCAAGCGCTGATGGACGGTAGTCATTGCTGCGACGTTGGCACGACAGACACTACGGTTGCCAGCTCCAAAGCCCACGATGAAGCGACTTACAGCCAATACCATCAAGCTGTCAGTTACATAGATGTCTGCCATAAGGTAAATGAGATTGCCGAGCAGGCAGATACCCGACGACACGAGATAGACCGAGCGAAACGAGTAGCGGTCGCACATCCAGCCAAAGATCGTGGACGAAATGAGTCTTCCTACTGAAAAGAGTGACGTCAATAGACCCATGAAGGCCAAATCTCCACCCAGTGACTTGGTGTAGAGAAAAAGTGTAGCCAATACCACACCACGCGAGGATTCAGCCGCAAATTCGACAAAGTTGATGAGCACCATATTGATGTACCATTGAGTAAGGCGACGACGAGGGCTGGGTACAAAATTCTTTGGTTGTGTGTCGGTTGATACGGCGCCGTAAGATGCGTTCGTTTTGGAAAGAAGCGTTGGATGTTGCACCATTGTAATGACCTCTCCTTTGCTGCAGCTGTCGAAATGGTGGAAAAGGAGATAATGCCGACAATTCTTCTGCTTGAGGGCCCCGGATCTATTTATCGAATCTTAGCGACTGTATTTAGCTCATACATACATAGACGAGGCGGTACATTGACTTGGTTTGAGTAAGTGGACAAAAACAGAGATTCCCACGAATATCCGTTCGTGTGAATCCAAGCAGAATGGATTTTTTTGCGGTGGCTCTCCTCCGGCTGTTGCATACGTGCCGATTATGCCACCATCGTGAGAATAGCATTGGTCAATTTGGGAGAAGATTTGTGGCACTATTGACCGTTTGCACAGTAATTTCTAGCATGTAATTCTAACGATATTGCGTTGGTTTTTACTTGTTTTCTCATAAGTTTAGCACATGTGTATTGCATGGATGGAAGCCACCATTATTTCAAAAGTGTTTAAACCTAAGACTAGGCTACTGGAACGTTAAAACGGAGTTACTGGAACGCTAAAACGGAGTTACTGGAACGCTAAATATCTTGTTTTAATAGATGTCAAAAGCCGGTGATACATCTGTATATTTACCACCCATACGATGATTGGCAGGATCAGATTAACATCATAACTGAGACATGTCACTTTATCGGGGACCTTTGTCCTACTTTAATGTACCTCGTGTGTGTCATCAAACCCATCCTAACTCCGATTTAAGCTATTGCTAAAATGGCGCTGGAGCTGGTCAGGACCGCGGAGGTTCGTTGTCATTCCCTCGTATCTGATGCATTACGTCGTGTCCTTTACCCAATTAACGCAGTCTCTTTTTCCTCTGTATCATGTAGAACTCTCTCGGTGACTTCTTTGCGCACGATGACGCGCTCTCTCGTCTGGATCAATTGCATCGCCACACACTTGAGGTTGTAGAGAACGTGCTTAAGGCCCCACGGCCACAGGATTTTACGCTTAATGTACTGGATTTAGCGGTACAAAAAGTAGCAGAGAAATTGTCCTGGAAGCTCATGACGGAGACCCAAGCCACACCCAGTAGCGTGGGCGTCCCGGCATTGCTGGATCTGTGTATTGCAGGTGTGACCAGCAATTTCCTCGTCAACAGCACACCATACAAGGTGCTGGAGGATTTAATGGAGGGTCAGACTATCAGTGCATGTGAGAAAGTGTGGGAGCTGCTCGAGTCCCGCAAGGACAAACTTACGATGGTGTGTGACTGGCTTTCGTCTCGTAGTCGTAGCTGCCTGTTGCTGAGAGTATGAAAAGACTGATACGACATTTGTTTGATAAAGCAGCCGGATTTTATTGCTGAGAAAGGCCGGACTACCAAGGCATCGCTGTGCCTGCTGCGGATGTGTAATGCTTTGCTGCGTCGTCTGTCCAAGACTCACAACAGCGTGTTCTGCGGCAAGATCTTGGTTTTCTTGTCGTTCACGTTCGCACTGTCCGAGCGCTCAGCAGTCAATCTTACGGGCAAGGCAAACGTGACCAATGTGACTGTTTATGAAGATGAAGATGCGTTCGACTTGGCTGAGACTTCTGACGCCGCAAAAGCTGCTGAGGTTGTGCCTCGATTGGAGGTGACCAGCACATTTTTTTATCCATGCGGTGCACCTTTATGGAAAAAGTTGGCTGACAATATATCATGTATGGCGCTAGCAGATTGACAGTGATTTAAGCACCGACGTCGGCCCGATCGACTATAACCTCTATCGCACCTTCTGGAATTTGCAAAGCTTTTTTCGCGAATATCAGATGGTCGTCCAGTCAGCGGAAAACTGGGAGAAGTTTGTACGTGTGATGTATTGATATAGCTCTGTGCTCAAAATGACTTGATGACCAACCTTGCTCTATTTGGTATATTATGTACGCAGTTCACTGAACTGAATGTCGTGTTGGCAGCGTTCGAAGGCAATCCATTCTCACCGGGCGACCTAGAACGTTCACGAGACATAAGTGGTGGTCCTACGTACTCGACGAATGTCACCATGTACGAATCAACTAGTGACACCGACAAGAGCGCAACCGAGCAGGGGTCACAGGAACACTTTTTTCAGCCCAAGTATTTGACCAATAGCCGTCTTTTCAGGCTGCAGCTCCGTGACCCGATCATGCGCGAAAGCATGCTGACACAGTTTCTTATCCTCTTCAACGACCTCGCTAGAGCAAAGCCACCTACCGGTAGCATCACACCGAAGGCAAAATTAGCTGATCTAAGTGAGCGCGTGGTTGCATTATTAAAGCAAACGCCATCTGATGGAGAAGGCTTCAGCGATATGGTGGCATACGTTCTCGAGCGTGAGCGTAACTGGGTCAAATGGAAGCAGGAAAAGTGTCCGGGGTACGAGAAGTATCCATCTACGATAGAAAATGAGTCTTCGACTGCCCCCGAACCAGCGGTGAAGCATGTTCGTCGGCACTTTACCTCCCCCTTGCTGGAGCAGATTCTGTCCGAGAGTTCGAAGCCTTCGCAGATCTTGGAGAAGATCAAGGGCAAAGAGCGAGGTGAGTTGTAGAGCATATTTGTGTGTTTTGTTTGGTTTACTTAACCAGTCGTCGTGATTTTGGTTTGGTTATGGAATGCTAGCGAATGAAGTTTCTGTGACAGCGTATACAGACCGCTTTAAAGAAGCTTGGGACCCTGAGAATGGGGTCGAAGAGGAGTATTGGCCAGACAAGGATGAGATGGTGTGCTGGCGAACAATGCGCGCTGCGATGAAGACAAGCGTGAATCATTTGGACTTGGCGGTTAAGGGCACGGGTTCACTAGTCAAGGGTATCCTTGGCATTTACGCTACTGACGGGAGCAAAGAGTCTGCGGATGCTCCAGCCTCGTTGCTCAAAGCTGTGGATGATGAAGCCGATACTGAGCAAAACGAAGAGAAAGTGTCGGACCACGAAGCATCTAAAATAAGCTCATCCGGCACGAAGCGGGACCGAAGCGATTCTTTCAAGCTTGCACAAGAAGACAACGAACCACCGGTGAAGCGAGAGCGAATGGGACAGTTCCACCGTGACGACGACATTGAGGTGCGTGTATCATTTGTTTGACCTGTAAATTTGTACGACCTCCTTAACCGATTGAATTGTCACTTTCTTTCCTGTGCAGGATGGCGAAGAAGCATAAGCGTTTATAAATTACGGCACTAACTTCTTGCTTGTGATAAAGCTCGACCTGTTTATTCTACAAGTACCAGTGTTTGTTCTAACTGTGAGTAAATAGTCAGATTTCTATACATTAAGGGGGGGATGGTTAGCTAAAAAGGTGCGTGATGAATAGTGTCTCCCCTAATTAATAATACGCTATGATCATAGACACGCGCTTTTTGAGTCCGTAAGCATAAGGACATGTTCTCTTTATGTAAACATGGTGTACAACCGAATATAAACCAATCAAAAGTGCATGCATCTCCAATTCCACCAATCATCGATCTCGTCATTCAGTCGGTCGCCCCAAGTCTGCCGGAAGCGCTCTGCATTGACCTCTCTCACTGTGTCAGTAGTCTTCTTATCTCGACGTCCAGTAGCTTCATTTCAAGCTCTTGTAGCTGTGAACACATTATTGCAAGTGTAACGTCCAGAATCAGCGTCTAAAAGCCTTTACAGCAGCTTTATAATTGACATTATTGAGCTCTACAATCACTTAAAATGAGTGATAATTGGCGATTAGATGTGAAATTTCAAGGTCGATCGATTGACCTCGTAGGACGTCTTCCAGCTGAAAAACGTGCGCTCTTACGGGACTTTCCACGCCATTTGGCCGTTGGAACGAAAGCCAAATTGTCTGCGATTCCTCTAAAGGGGTTTTTCTGTAAATTTTTTGCTAAAAACAGCGAAGAATTGAAAGTTTACATGAAAAAACACGAGTGCGCTCTGTGTGTACAATTTGTGGCTTCGACGTTTAATTTTACGCTCTATTTGCTGGTACCAATGGCATTAAAAGGTCTCAAGTGTCTGCATCGATTACGGAAAAATGGTGTGTGGGTGTTGAATGGGTGCAAACATATTGAAGAGAGAAAGAGGAGTGTGAAATACTGATGCTTTTGTTGGTGTTTTGCTGGCGTGTATACAGGAGCAAGTCCAGATTCTATCAAATCTCTCTATACGGACCGAGAGGGTGTAGTGATTGGATTTATTGTGTCGGAAGTGAACGTAGAGATGGAAGAAAAGCTGCATGAACGAATGAAAGTAATGGAAGAACTGGAATCGACGGCTAAGGCAATGTCGCATACATTTGGCGACCCAATGTTGGAATTTGATTTGCTGATCGATCAGTTGGATACCAAGCCATCGGCTATTCAGGTGTGTGTTGTGCTGCGTGGGAGAAAAAAGGATACTGGTGGCGCTGGCTGAGCGATAAATGTGGTTGTATCTCTATATGTGTTTTTGTGTAGGCCTGTTCGAAATTTATTGTTCGGCATCAGCATTTGCACGTCGCCATTTGTCAGAAACTAGCTCAGACAATGGATGCGATGCAGTCTTTTAAAGCACGAGCGAGTATTGTGTACGTTGTTCACGATGTAGTTAAATCGGTGCGTGCAAACTACCCGCAGAAGGACCGTAATGCTAAGATGCGTGAGTCTGCACTAGTACTATCTCTTGAAAAGATTCTGTTCCAGCTGGTGCAAAAACTAAACGGGGATGTAAAGCACAATGTACGTATACGCACGATTGCTTGCATTTGTGTATATGTTTTACTTGTATGAGTAACTATCACATGTACCTTTCTATTTGTAGCCGAATATTCGGGCAGTATTCGACTTTTGGACAAAATGGGGATTGCAGTACTCGGTGCCAGTAAAAGATGAGGCGGATTTAAAACACGACCCTATGCTCAAGATTGATGAGACATTCGAGATGTTGCAGCGCGAGGTATCGCTAGCGTCCGATGCTCCATCATCGCCTATCAAACCGTCAGCGCCCCCCGAGGTTGTGGCATTTATGAAAAAGCACAACATTCAGCCGGGCCCGTGGGAAATATACTTGGGACGTGCGTCACCACAGGAATTAGAGGAACTTGACTCAGTCCTTGACTTGAATACGAAGTATTTCGGCTTTAACCACTGGGATCCGTCCGAGAAAGGAGGTAGACGCGGTGGTGAGATGTTCCTGCACCATTACACCAAGTCGATGATGTCTTGGTTGCTGCATGCATCAACATCAACGTCACATTCGAGCTCCGCGAAAAGAAAAAACATCAAAGACTCTTTCATTTTGCTGCGAGATGCATTCTTATGCACGTGGGATCTTGATCCAACAGCAGCGCGTGCGGTTTCTGACATTGATCGCTCATTATTAGACGACATGTGGAGGAAAATGGAATTTGTGAAGTGTCAAAATCCTTCAGCATTTGTATTTGGAAAGATCAGACGGGTGAAGACAATTCAATTTGCAAATAGCCCTGCGACAGATGCAATTCTAAAGACAGTCGAACACGAGTCCAAGGTGAATTCGAGCGCACTGGTGGCAGAGCTTATCAAGGTATTCAAGCTGGACACAATGGCGCGTGAAATGGTTGCCAAGGTCAAGTCGAAATCTGATTTATGCTACATTGCAAAAGAACTTTGCAACCGTTGCCGCCATCATATGGTGGCAAACCCATCCGTGCACATGGTTAAACTCTGCCAAAAGGTACATGCGGCTAATAATCCGATGAAAGCTTACTCTTCTGCCATGAAAAGTATGATTTCCCGGCAGATGAAGATGTCTGCAATATTTGACAAGGAAGCTAAGTACGTTTGTGTGCGTTGTTGGGTGACGGCATTGAACCCACACTAATAGTTTGTGTTTGTGATCGATTAATTCAGGAAAAAGCGAAAGCTGGAGGGCATTGGTGTTTCTTCTTCTCCCGTCACGGAAAGTGAAGCCTCTAGTTCTCCCCACTTCGATCTCACAGATGCTGAACTGGCTGCTGTAAAGCGACGCATCCCAAAACCCCCGAAGTTGCGGTTCAAAAAGGTTGACACAAAAACAATTACGTATCAGGAGACGAACGATAATGGCACAGTTGGTGTTGCGGTTTCCGGTATTCCTGATGCTGGAAGAGGACTATTTAACTTGTCAGCTCATACATGGCCGGCGTTTTCGGTTGTCTGCATTTTCGGTGTCCGACGAATTACAAAAGAAATGCATCATGATGGCCTGAATAAGGTAGCACGTTGCGGAGAGCTAGGAGAGACTTTTGTCGTTGTTAATGGCACTGTGCGCGATGTAGACAAGTTTCAAACACAGTACGGCCACCGTTTGATGCCTTTTGACGGTTTGGTGGACGCGGACGGATCGGTTGGTGGGTTTCCAAATGACCGTGTGTATGAGTACCCTGCAGACGTTTATTGGGACGCATCTGGATTCTACAACAACTGCATTCTCGTGCCCGGCTGTGTGATTGAGAATCCGCAGGATACAACAAGTCCGATCATATTGAATCAGCTATATATCGTCACGTGGAAGGAAGTAGCAGTGCGCGAGGAGTTTTTTTTGGCGTACGGAACGTCGTATTACGAGGAGGATGGAAAGACTGTACCACAAGTGAGAGAAGCAGCACCTACTTAGCGAAATAGAAGCAGCAAGGCTGAGCAATTAGTATCGCTATAACGTAACCTAAGAAGAACGACCCTATAGACTCATCGATGATCCCAAGCGTTTCTTCAGTGTCTGCTAGCTTTGGTGCTCATAAAGCTTGTTCACACATGAACCGAGATCTTCCTTCGTAATCAGGTGAGCTCCTGTTCTTGTTTCATTCTCTTTAGACACACTTTGACGGTATCAACTAACGGGCTCGTTCCACACGACTCTATCGTCGAGATACAATCGACACACGGGGCACGCGTGTTGAATATTTAACCACACAAGCACGCATCCTGCGTGGTAGTTGTGGTTACACGGTAGACGTAACGTCTTATCGTCAGCCAAATCGCCGCAGCAGATCGGGCACTCGGAGCTGTCATCAACAGTGTCTCCACAGTCTTGGCCGGCTGGGCACGGCTCCACTGGCACTACCGTCGGCGAAGCTGCTAGATTTTTGTATTGAAAGACGCGATCAATCGCGTTAGCGCGGTGGTATTTGATGTCGAGAAAATCCTCAAGAAGGTGTCGCGTCCGCTTCATGGTCTGGCATTGATTGTCGTGTCCTAGAACGGCTTGCACTAAGTCATTCACATACGTCTGAAACGCATTACACTGGTCGTACGGTTTACCAGTATTGCCAAAGCCCCATAATAGACGTGTACCGACGTTCCAAGAGAGGCGCTGCACATGGCCACAGCACGCAGGATCTCTGCAACCGCCTCCAACTCGCTGGATGCTCTTGCGCAATTGCGCGTGATCATTTGAAGTCTTCTTGAGCACCCACTTGTGACGCATGACGCTGTCCGAGACGTACAGCACAAAGTACACTAGCGATGACGGCCTCTGACTCGAGAAGAGTCCAGCATATGCAAGCAGAGTGTCATGTGGTTTGGCTGGTGAACCTGGAGTTACTACCACACGGGTGGTATTCTCTGGAAATCGCTTCGTGGTGCAGTTGTCCGCACAAACGGAACTTTTGGTGCCGATGACGTCTTCTAGCGAGATGAACACCATGTCACTTGCAGTCTTAAGAGAGGATCAATCCAACAACAACTTAAAAAAGTAATGAGTGGTACTAAACAACGTGGTATTAGCTCCAGTATCTCCAGCAGATGGCTAACGATGTATGCCGTCTTGCCTACTGCTGCGCTCGCAATGTAACGACAACTTTGAAGTGAATGCGACTTTGTCACCATTACAAACACGTTTCTCGTCAAGGATTTGCTAAGTTCTTCCTAACTAGTGGCTCGCATGAGCCGTCGGACTTACAATACAGTCGACAAGTCTGGAAGGGTCCTTTTGCTCACCTGAATTGCATTGTAGTCAGGCTTATGTCAACCCCATTGAATCTAATCTTCCCGAGAGCATCTTTTATCAACAATCGTACACCAAAAAGCGCGACAAACCGTCGTATGCATAAGATAAACTTCATGTAACATAAGCAAGGCTGCTGATCAGTTGTTGTTACTGTTAGTGTCTCCAGTATCAAGTTTACAACTGCACAACTATGTGTCGACATTGTCGCTCTTGGTGGTCTGCGACACCTTTATTTTTTCTACTACCCGACGATTTTCAATGTCGCGTAATTTCTCACGCAAGTCTTCGGACGTGTAGCGGCTATTGAGCGTCCTGTATTTTTTGAGCTGGATGACGCCCACCATCTCACGCACCATCCAACGTCCGCGTTTGATCGCCTTCTTGATAGCCAGTGGGTCAGTAAGATCACTGTTTTTAAAGAAAGCAGGCTTGACGGTCTTGCGCACATGATTTAGTCCCAGTGGATAGTCGCGTCCGACGAGCAGGAAGCGCTTGTATAGGTCACGGATCTTTGGATTCATTTTCTTTAACTGAGCATTCCTAGTCAAAATAACCAAAATAACAAGCATTAGCCAATTAAAAGGTGCGATTTTCTCACCACTCACTCGTAAATACGAGTAAAAAAAACCATGAGCTCCGTTAGCTCCGAGGTGGACCGCCGAGTTGTACCGGACGTGGCTACAGCGTTGCTTACTGTCAAAATTGGAGATGTCTCACGTACATCTCGCAAGCATCTGGCAATTATCACCTTTGGTTTTCTATTGTCGGAAGGGCTCGATGTATTCCGTGCCAAAGCAGATTCGTGCACGGATAAGGCACTGGGCAATGTCCAGGGCGAATGCCATGTGCGCGAAGACCAGGCGATCTATATGCGCCCGGGCGCTTACTCTAAACAGGCGGAGCTAGTGGAGATCACGTCTAGTAACTTTGAAAGTCGTGTGGCCAGGAGCTACAAAAATTACCTCAAACGTAAGACGGATGAGCCGTTCCAGTGCGAAATCTACGTGTACGTCAAAAAGGTTGCGCTGCCAAGACGTCGACGAGTGAAGGAGGCAGTTGTTACCACTGCAATAGCAGAGCAAGTATTGCAACATGGAGACTTTACACAGAGCGAACGATTAGCTGGTGAAATGTTGGGGCCTGGTACTGTTGTCTCGAAAGACGTGCTGGGATGTAAGCGGAAGCGGTCAGTGGGCTCCGAAGAGGAAGAGGAGCACGAGACCCTGCAGGAACATCATGTCGATGACAGTTACTATCGGACGGTGCGGATGATTATGAACGGGGCTGTCGTGCCGATGCAAGTCAATATGCAGGATTTACTTGTCTGCTTTGCGTCATTTCAGCAGCAAACGCTGTTTAACTCCACTGGTGAAGATGTTCTCCGTGACCACGACCAAGGTGCCCATTAAGCTGCTTACCCCGGTGAAGATGGTGAACAAATTCTATTAGCAAGTTGGCGGGCGCACACGTTGTCGCTTTCAGAGGAAGATTCGTCATAATGCAGCAGGCATGATTCTATCGTATATATTAAGCGGATCCGTCCCTAGCGCTTGCTTTTCTACAAATGTACTTACTACTGCTACTACTTCTAGCGTGCTGCAATCTTGTTTTTATTGTGCTTGTTCTTGTTCATAGACTTAAATCTTAAGCGTCCGCTTCTAAGTTTAAACTTTGCGCTCAGAGCATCGAGCGGTAGGCGCAGGCGTATGATCGGCCAACCATGGCAATCCATATCAAATAACGTACCATGCAGCTAAGCTGCATACTTCTGGGAAGTATCTCACAATCCAAAAGTCCAAAAATGTGAATCCGAAATGCAAAAAATGGCAACAACCGTGCGTTCCGGAAGGGCACACGGAAGTGATGGGATAGGCATCGAGAATAAAGCTTGACACTCAACCCAGTCCTCGTTTAATACTCCGACGGTGGCAGCCCCGTTGCATCAAAACTGCTCCAAGATGACCCAGAATCCCGTCGCGGTGGACGTCCAACTGACGTTGGACGCTTGTCCTCCATATTCCTCAGATAGCGGTATTGACTAGGGGGTGGCATATACTGCTGTTGCTGCTGAGCCAAGTCGCACTGCTGGGATTGGAAGCCGAACTGATGATGTCCAGCCCCACCTGCTCCTCTCGACGAGTGCTGCAACTGAATCTGGTGTTGAGGCACGAAACTCGGTTGCTGAGCTGGAGGAGGAGGAGGCTGCGGCTGGAAAGAAGTCATTGATGACGGCTGGTGATGCTGTTGATACTGTTGCTGGTACTGATGCTGTTGATACTGTTGCTGGTACTGATGCTGAAGTTGAAGCTGTTTTTCCATCGAGATCGCCGGTGGCGGTGGGATGGGTGACGTTGGGCCAAAATCTCCACCAAAACCAGAACTACTGGATGCAGCAGCAATCTGCGCCGTGTTGCTTTCCATCGTGCGCAAGTCATTCTGCCCGTGGGCGAAGCGGCACTCCTCCCTCGAGTAGTTGCAGTTACCCTTCAAAAAGTAGTAGCACAGCTCGGTCTTGTAACTCTGCAACCTAGGAGCTGCAGGAGGCAGAATCGGCTGGCTGCCTCCACTGACCCCGCTTGCGCTGGCTCCGTCGCGCAGGTCATTCACTCCGTGAGCCATCGTGCAATCGCGACGAGACTTTGTGCATGTGCCATTTTCATAAGATTGGCAAAGGCGAGTCTTGTAAGTGGGTCCATGCTTGCTGCTGCTGCTACCACCTAAGCTCAATCCGCTAGGACGCACCAAATCACTCTCCCCGTGAGCAAATGAACAGGTGCGCCTTGTCTTGTTGCACTTGCCTTGCATATAATACATACAAATCTCCGTCTTCCAGTTGCTCGAAGATCCTGGTGGAGGCACACTCGGTCCGCTCTGACTGCTGCGGTGCAAGCTTGTCTTGCTGTGACCAACTGAAGATGACCGAGACGGCGAAGGCAATGCCATTGACGCGCCGCTTTCTCTGCTTTCTCCAGCTCCAACAGCCGGATTAAAGCTCGGGTGAGAGCTCAGTATGCTGTCGATGGCTGCTGATTCCAATCCATTAAAGCGCCGCAAGATCATTCCCAGCTCCTCGATCGGGATAGCGTCAAAAAGCTCCGACAGCATAGACACTTTCAAAGCTGAAACTGCCGAAAGCGTCGACACTCTTCCACTGTCACCCTGGCTTGTCTCCTTTATTTCGTCTCCTGTACCTTTGTATGTGCATTGTTGATTTACGGTCGAACAAGTCGGTAAGGCTGCGAGCGACAGTGATTCTATGTCGTCTTTCAGTTGAAATATTGAAGGCGACACTTTCTCTTCATTGAGCGTGTCAACGGCAAATGGCCTGGCGTGTTTGGGCGTTAATTGAGGTGAATCCAGCAACGCGGACGGCAAAAATTGACCTATGAGAGTGCTGCGGAGTGTCTGTGTGCTCGAGGACGTGGATGGAGAATCATCGTCGTTGGCACCCTCTTGACCACCCGCACCTCGAGACGAGGCCGATGGATAAAAGTTGAAACCCATCAGATTCGGCCCTTCCGGACCATCACCATTTGTACCTGGTCCACTAGCACCATCAGCAGCGCCGACAATGGGCTTGTTTGGTGAATGCCACAAATTATCACTTTGTTCTTGCATCAATGGAGACTGTGGAGACCGACCGTCTCCACCGCGTGAGCCGGTATCTTCCCTCCTGCGTCTTTGTTGCAGTTCTTTAATTTCATTCTTGGCGTCGATGAGCGCTAGACGTTCGTCTACAAGTTTACGTTTTAGTTTGGCCGACAATGTACCAAAAAGTGCTACGCGTTTCTCTGAAAGACGCTGCTCCTCGCGCAGGCCGTCCACGACCTGCTGCAGTTGCCGCACTTGCAGCCGCGAGAGCTGCAGCTCGCGTAGAATGCAACGCACGTCGTCGCTGTCACCGTCGTCGTCGTCGTCGTTCCGGGGCAGCTGTTCGTCACCAGGTGCAACAGCGGCACCGCCTTTCTCCATCTTTATAGACATAGCCAGTGTCCAGAGACAACAGATCACACATCAGTCAGTCAGTCAGAGCAGAAGACAAGCCACAAGTTAGGCGAAGCCAGCAGTTGAGTTAACTGATACAAACATGACTAACTAAACAAAGGTCCACCGTTGGGTAGTAGCCAAGATTTAGACTAGAATGTTCAACGAACACTTAACAAATGTCATTATACACTTACCCATGCAAACTTGGAGCCGGGCTCGATATGAACGTCGTAATCACGTCTAATGTCCGATACAACCTGCATTAAATTGCATCGTCACCCGAAGACAAGTCGAGACAGACACATACTTATCGTCAGTGATTTGATCGCATTTTAAAATCTGGAAGCTTCTGCTCACAACAAGGTGAAGGCAAACGAGCGGCGAGAGTGCAGCTCCGCCGCTGCGTTCTTCTCATTCCTGCGTTGCAAGCACCACTCCGTTTGCATCATTTTAGCACGCACCTGGACGAGAGACGACTGAAAGGCCTGACTGAACTCGGTGACTACACGGTCCAGCAGCTCGCCAGTTCCGGGTGTCGAAGTCATTTGCTGCTGCTCGGTAGAGACCGATGTGGCGTCCACAAGTGCCGATTCGTGCTGCGACTCGGCCGATGAGTCAAATGCGATTGCCATGTCAACTGCTACGCGAATGTGCTACGGTCTAGCAAGCGTAACGGGCAAGTAAATGGGTTGACTTAAGTAACCGAGTTGCTGACTGAAAGGTCTGTAACTTGTGGTTAGTGGTTTGCGGTTGAGTCAGTTAATTTACCTGCTGGCGCTACTGCCCGTGCAGCAGGCCGCAGGATGTCAAGTTGCTCACGGAAGAGGAAGCCACTTGGGTCAGGACCGGCTTTCGTTCGCTCGCTTTTTTGCTCAGCCTCGAAGTCCTGAGCGGCGTCTCTTCTGCTTTTTTCGAGATGGTCGCCGAGTAAGTCAAGTGAGTCTAGGCTGGCTGGCAGAGAGGCGAGCAAGTGTGAAAAGCGAGTACACGATGGACTAAATCCGGGCCGGATCAGCCTGTTCTTACCTGCTGTAAGCCGTTTTGCTACATAATATTTCACGTCCTCGCCATTAATTTTCCGGAGCCCGTGCTGGTGGACAGGCGAGGCGCAAGCATTGTGTTTGGCAGGCTCTCCAATGGAACAGGTAGCTAGCTACAAATTCCAAGTATCAAGACTCACTCCGATCGTATGGATACAGATATCATAGGCTTGTGCAGGTTATCAGGAACGAATTTTTGGAAAAGGGGGGACCAAAACAAAATTTTTGTCCGGCATGTCGCTAATGCTCCATGTTACGAACTGTTTTTATACATGACTGACCAATATTGTGATAGCTGGCTATACGGGTTCGTTAGCAAAGTCATGCTCCTAAAGGTCTTTACTATCAGTGCGTTCAAGGCCCCCATTTGGACGCCCAACGTGCATTCAGTGGTGAGTTAGGATGCGAGAGAATGCGATTGGGGATGGCAACAGATGGCGAGAATGCCCAGCATCTGGAATGCTGTATATCGGTTAGTCATTCTCAACGGAAACAGCCATCTTACAGCTTGAGCAGTGAAAAGTCGTTTGTCTTCAATATTATTATCCACAGGTAATTAAGCTAAAAACAGATCGGGTCTCCACAATGAGTCCATGATTTGCAGCGTGAAAATATTAATGAGTGATGGTAACGTGTCGCAAAATTGTGAAAAAGTCGATTTTTGGAAAATAAAATTGTAATAACATTATCCGCATTGCTCATTATTTTAAAACACATGTCCTGGTTTCCATTTGCATAATAACAGACATAGCAAAGTTAAATTAAGTAAGGCAAACAACGTTTCGGGTGCGATATATAAATAGCAATTTATAAAAAATGCCCATTTATTAGCTCTCTATGTAGTACTTTGTGGTAGCATCTGACGTCACGGCCTACTTTACATCTTGGGGCTCCTCTCTAGAATCTGTACGCAACCCTGCTAAGCTGCCCTGCTGAACACTGGGCACTATTTTTCACATATGTGCTGCACTGTAACATGTGCTTTGATGATACAATATATATAACCACTTTTACCATGATCTGCGACGAGAGTAAAACTGGTCGTTAGAGCTAAAGATTGAAGATAAATTAATGTAAGTCTTTGGACATGGCTTCTCGGCATGTTGAAAGCAGCTCTTTCGTGCTTCGACTGCTCGTTGCCCTATAGGTTACCGTACCACTACCGGACTGGTCCAGATACAAATCTTCACACCTCCTATCGTAGGTCTCATTCCTAACCACATACATCTAAAACGTCGATACGGCATTGCGGTGCGCGGATCAAATATAAGGCTGTTTACCAATGTAAATAGTGATCTGGTACATAATTCCGACCCTAAAATTAGGGGGACGCAAATTGTATTTATTGGTAATACACAATTACCAATACAGTGTCTTCTCTATTGGCTTATATCGGCTATAATATCAACCAATCGAACCAAAACATTAATGTTTGTATTCTGGGGGGTGCTCTTTCAAGTCAGAGAAAAAAATAAAGGCTCACAAGCCTTTTAGTTCTATAAAACCAGTGGCTTTAAGCCGTCAGCTTTCGATAGAATTCCGTTTTATAGAACTAATCAAAGTTGACGACTAAAGCCACTTAGTTCTAAGGAACTAATTAAACGACTAAAATTCACCCTGTTCTAAGGAACGAGGAGAGAGACTTTTAGTCTGCAAGCAATAAGCTTAAGGTTCAGAGAACCAACGCACAGAGTGCAAGAAAAAGCTAGAAGGTTAAAGGTTCAGAGAACCAACGCATGAAGTGCACAAGAGAACAAGTCAGAACGACTTGCGATCTTAAACTCAAAAGGAGAACTGATTTTATTTATGATTTAAGGTTTTATGAATAGTCCTACTCTAAGTACCCTAGATTAATTACTATAATAGTAATTATTAAATGCATACTTTGCTATTGGACGACGTATCGTCTAAACATCTGTGTATGATGATGTACTTAGAACAGCGTTATCGATTATCGAATCCTAATCGATAAGATACGGTATCCGTATCTTAGACGCTTATACTTAATACCTCTCTAAAGAGAAGTATCAGATGCATTATATGCAATATAAGGAAACTTTAACCGTAAACTTTCGAAATGATGTTCCAACCATCGTGTAACCCCATTACACTCTCCCTCACTAGATGACGGTACCACATAACCTCACTCGTCATAATCCTTGAAGAGGTTGCAAAACACGAACTTTAAACCTAACGGTTGTTCATAGCGTACACGAAATGACAACCCCTATCATGAGCCTAAGGCTCTTAATGATCTCTTTGAAGGAGAGTTGGAGGTAGCTGTGGATTACGGGAGTGGCACCAGCTTCCTAGAAAACTATAAAAAAGTCTAAGTTCAGCCCTAAGGGTGAAAATGAACGCCGACGCCCACCTAATCCGTTCCCAGAACGCGGTAGTGCTGACATGTTAACCTCAATGCGCTCAGCGCCTGTTAAAACGCCTCCTTCTCCGATCACGAACCCGCTCAACGATCAACAGGAACAGCAACTACAAGCGACGGCAAGACCCGCATACTAAGCAAAGGCCATGGCCAAGCACAAAGGACATTTAAGTGTGGTGGAGTGGGCTATATAAATTTGCTGATGTGATCCCGACTCTCCACTGGCTTCCGTGCGACCGACTAACGGAGGGGGTACATCGATAACGTGTATTAAGCCTTCCTCACCTTGTGTAGCCGTCGGTTGGGCGGGTTGCTCTCTTCTACGTGGACTTGAGTCGATGTAGAACCTGATTGTGTTAAAGACATGTGGGGGGCGATCAAGTGGAATTCCTCACACGATCGCAGTTTTTCTTGGGGGTGCTCCATTTGAGTCGCCCTGATCTCCCTTGAGATCACCTTGTCAAATTGGTTGATACTTGATCCGCTTGCCTCCTGACCAATTGAGCCGTCTTGTGATCTTGTATCTGAACTTCTTAGTCCTTTTTGTCCAATCGCAGCTTGGGAATGTCTTGAGAGTCCTTGACACACCTGACCAAACAATCCAGGGCGTACAATTGCGAGGTGGATGAGCTTCTCGAGACGTCGAATCGACAAAAAAAATTAACTTGGAGGAGAAGCTGGCACGTTTTCTTTTCAAGTAAATTGAACTCTCTCATAATGTTAGCCAAAAAATACCAAAGCCTACGATTCTGCCTATATGTAATGGGCTACATTAGACACATAGTTAACACAAATAAACAATTACATATGTAGACAGGTTCTGGGCCCGAATAGCGGGCACAGCGTGGCAATTTATTATTGGTTTATTATTGGGGCCTAAAGTCCCCAATATGGACCAATGATAAATCAACCTGAAATTGTGTGGTTCCCGAAAGGCGGGAACACTGTCGTATTTATTACGACTAAAATCTTCGTAATTAGTACGAATTAAAACCAAAATAAAAATCTGAGTTAAATTTACTTAATACCTAATACTTGGGCTTGAGTCTTCCTCAAGCGCGCGTGTAAGCTAGAGACGGTACGTTCTAGCCTTGTTACACCTGGTAGCACTTAGTAGTCCTTCCTATGCCCGAGTTTCGGATGAGCGAATCGTCGTACTTTGACGCTCCAGATTTATTTCTGGAGCACGCGACCTTCCCCCATCTTACTGGTGTTGAGTGGGATGCCCTTAATCGCCTCGCGGCGATATCGGGAGAGGCATTCGTCGCGTCGTTGATGAGATCAGCGACCCCTGACGCGCAACGTCTCGCCATACATGAGTTTATGGCACGCGAGCTCGCCGGAATCCAACCGGCGAGGCTTAACTCCCTCGCGTCCTTCAAGTAATTAGGACGTGAAGATGGAAACCTCCTCCTACTCTGTAGAAGGCAAGGATTGGTTATCGCTGAACCGGTGGTTCCGAGAAGTTGATATCGCCATCGCCTCGAGACTTCTTGAGGCACCCCAGGCGAAGGTCAACTTTCTTCTTTCCCACCTCACCGGGAAGGCCAAGGAGAGAGCCCTTGGTAAATTTGTTGTGGACGAGCACGCGTCCCCACCCTGGATGCCATCCAGGACGATCTTCGTTCTGCTTTTGAGCCACCGCAAGAGGAAAAACTGGTGCGATCAAGATTCCTGTCGATGCGACAGGGTAAAATGGCGATGCGCGACTACGTACAGATGGCTAGGCATCTGGCGTCGTGTATTATCACGCACCCCATGGACATGTACACACAGGTGAATGTCTTTGTGGGTGGTATGCGTGAGGGGCAGACCCGCTTATCGCTGGAGCGCGCCGAGCCTGCCACATTGGAGGAGGCATTCGCCATCGCACTCCGTGAAGACTTTAGGGTCACAAAGGCCTATGCCAAACCCTCGGTCGTCAGCGTTCCCCGGCCTTCTGGCCCAGAACCTATGGAGATCGACGTTATTGAGTCGTCGGGTGACCGGCGACGTGTCTTTCATCATAAAGGTGACGCTCGCACCGGGCGTCCAATGGTTTGCTTTCGTTGTCTCAAGCCAGGACATCGCGCGGCATGAGTGCCGTGCGCCAGCCCCATTATCGGTGCAAGTAGTGGACGCCCATCATGAGGGTGCTGTACCGGCCGCACGTCCAAAAAAACGGTCGGGACCAGTAGGTGCAGGGTGCCCTATTGGTTGGAACGGAGGTCCG